CTAGTGGGTGCAGGACACTATAGTTCATTTATGTAAGTGAGGATAGCAAAATAAAGTAAACAGTGACAAATCATACCCAAAAATTCTTCATGCAGTGGACTACCAGTTAAACGGATACAAATTTGGGACCAAAAAATATTCAGACCCTTTTGGTTTCTGTACCCAATATTTAAAAAATGTACAAAGGCAATAAAAATATCGGTATCGGCAAGTACCCAAAATAAAAGTATCGATATCGGGCAAATACTGGAAAAAGTGGTATCGGTGCATCCCTAATTATTAGATGCTTTAGGTGTTCAGCAGTACATAGTAAAGCACTATACAAATTCTTCATTCATTCATTCATTCATTCATTAAAAACTGACATTTACATTTAGTCATTTAGCAAATGCTTTTATCCAAAGCGACTTACAAATGAGGACAATAGAAGCAACCAAACCAACAAAAGAGCAATAATATGCAAGTGCTGTGACAAGTCTCGGTTAGCCTAACGCAGTACATGTAGCAATTTTTTTTATACATTTTTAAGAATAAAAAAAGAAGGAAATAAAAAAATAGAAGGAAAATAGCATATATAGAGCTAGTTTATTATTTTTTTAAATTGTTTTAATACTAATTCAAAAGAAAACAAGTAGGTAGAATAGAAATAGAATAGAATTAAGAATTAATCAAAATAATAATACCAAAAATTTAATTAAAATTATTACTCATTACTAATATTATTTAAAAATATACATAATCATATTTTACATTTACGCATTTTTACATTCACAAGCCAATGCATTTTATGTATTTAAAGACAAATAAAAAGTACACTAGGTTTTTAAATACTTCTGCTTCAAATTGTATTTTTTAATAATTATGGAATTATTTAAACACTGAATAAATTACAAAATATAGTTTATTGTGTAACTGATATATCAACAATAACCAGAAAATAATGCGGGACTTTTAATTATAAACAAGAAAATCTGTTTAAAACAAAAATCTTTAATTTATTCAAACAGATGAGGGAGATAAACTATGCACTCTTACAACCATCTAAAACATATTTCAATATTAACACTGTAAACATTATCATAATTGATCAACAGTAAATCATAAGCAATTTCTTTTGGCATAAATGCGCAGAATACATTGATCGCCAACTGTTTGTGAAACCATGAGCCTGTAGGATGTGCAATGGTGGTTCGTTTTCACAATTTTTTCAATAAATCATAGAAATTTGACATTTAATAATCATATTAAGTTGTATTGCAATACCTGCTTTTTTCCAGCTCCAAATTTAAGACCTTTTAAAATTAAAATGAAGACTTTTGTTATACTATTTAGGACTTTATAAGATTACATTTTGAAAACAAACTGAACTGAAGACTTTTTGTGAATCAGTGAATTGACTCACACTGATTCACAGTGAATTGATTGAAGGATTGACTCACATAGTCGGGCAGAACGGCCATGTCGTCTGCTCCCAGAGGCCCACGCAAGGACTGGGTCGCCTGCTCCAGAACTTTATTGTGCTTCTTTGACAGCAGAGCAAACAAACTGAGAGAGAAAGACAGAGAGAGAGAGTTAGAACCACAAAGCCTTTCTTGAAATCATTTCTTGAGAGTGTATTTGTCTCGTCTGTCACAGCATCAGCAAGAAATCACAACAGCATGTCACAGTGATGAACCACGCTGTCGCAGCACTGCTGACTTTATTGTGCCTCGCAGATTTTCAGAGGTATAAGATCATAATCCGCACATCTGGCTACGAGATCAAGAGTCACAGCAGAGAAACTGCATTCAAAGGCACCGCGGGCGATGCTGCACTGGCTAAGACTGTTCAGAAATATGTTAAGATATCTTGTTTTGGCAAAGATTCAAAGGCAGAATGACATGCATCCTTCCTGAAGGCAATCCCACAATGCATTGTGCTGAGATTAGAGAAAGATGACAGACAAAACAAGAGAAGTTTTAAAAATTAAATACT